AGGTTGGATATTAGGAAAAACTATTTCACTAGGAGGGTGGTGAAGTACTGGAATGGGTTACCTAGTGAGGTGGTGGAATCTCCATCCCTAGAGGTGTTTAAGTCTCAGCTTGACAAAGCCCTGGCCAGGTTGATTTAGTTGGAATTGGTCCTGCCTAGAGTAGGGGGCTGGACTTGATGACCTTCTGAGGTCTCTTCCAGTTCTATGATTCTAGGGTATGTCACGCTACTGAGTTCTTTTGAAAAACAGCCACACTGCAATTTAGTTCTTCCAAAAGAAAATCGAAAGAACAGAGAAGTTTTTCCAACAGTGGTAATCCTCATTCAATGAGGAAGAAGCCTTTCTCCAAAAGAGCTCTTTCGGAAAAAGGCGTATGTGGACAGGGAAGAAGGAGTTCTTTCGAAAGAAGAGGAAAAAGCACAGGTGCCCTGATGGCCATTCCGGCCATAGCAATCACAGCTGAAATGCAAGATAGCTTCCATTCAGTGTGGACGCTATCTTTGGAAAAAGCAGATTGTTTTTTTGATGTGCTTTTGCAGTGTGGATGCTCTCTTTCGGAAGAAGTTTTTCCAGAAGATCTCTTCTGGAACAGCTTCTTCCAAAAGAAGCCTGCCGTCTAGACATATCCTGATACCCAGGATTTTATATCAGCCATAGAGAGAATTTTCCTATTGAACTAAATTCAGAGCTAGTCCAAGAGATATTGGTGACAGGGTCTGCCTGAGGCTTTGTCTGTGTCAAGCTAGCACTAACCACAAGCAAACTGTCTTTCTAATTGTGTTTGGTTTTTGAAGTGTGATAATCACGTTCTGCTTTCATTCCCCTGCTGATTTTGTTACATACAGTGCCTTGCCCTCTCTTGCACAGAATTTTCAACCCATGACTGCTTCTGGCTAGGAAAATAGACATGGAGCACCACTGTAATTGGACCCAGCAGTATTTCAGGCAGGAAGAAATTTGCTCTGGAAAAATGCAGTGTGAACTTCCCCTATCAAGCCCAGAGAGTTTTACTCTATATGAAAGGAATGTTTGCCCACCAGCTGTGAAAGCGGGTCACCATCTATGGCATAAGGCCAGGGAGCCTCTTCTTTTTCTCCAATATGCCTCTGCTCTAGCCAGTATATATATCATTATTTCCTTCTGTTCGTACAGCTAAGTCAGGATAGTTAAACAGTCATGTGTTTGTGAGCAAGGGCATATGACAGGAAAATAGGTCTAGTAGTTTAAATATCCGCTGGATTCCTAGCGGCACAGGCTAATTATATAATCCTGGACTAGCTGTTAAATTCTCAGCATCAGTTTTTCCCTCTGTAAAATGAAGAGACTATGGATGTAATAGTGTAGTCAGTTAACCGATTAACTGATAAGCAAAAGCTTATAGGTTAATGTTATCGACCACACACATTTTTCCCTCTTCCCCCACCAGTAAATTTTTAGCAGGCTGGTGAGCAGCCTGACTCAGTCCTGGCTTGTGATGGGTCCAGGACCTGCCCCTTCTGCAGCTCTGCATTTAAAGTGTATTAGGAGCCAGGCAGGCAGGCAGCCCAGTTCGGTCCCAATTCTCGCCGGATCTGGGAGCTCAGACCTCCCCTGGACCTGTGGCTGGGGCGCCCTGCCACTCTGCAGTTGCCTCTGTATCAGAGGCAGCAGCATGGGGTGACAGGCAGCTGGTCTGCAAGGGGAGCTGGTTTTTAAACTGGCTGATTTTTAAACTGATAGAGAGGCAGCAGCGCAGAGTAGCAGGGAGCTCCCACGGGTACTATAGAATAGTCAAGTAACCGATAAAAATTCATGAGGTTAATTGACTATTCAATTAACTGATGTTTAACATCCCTGGAAGAGACCTACCTCACAGGCTGAGTTTCTTGCTGTTCATAAAGTGCTTGGAGCTGTTGGGGTGAAAGGTGCTATGGACATGGAAACAGTTATTTTATTGGCAAACCAAATATTGTTTGTTTTTCCTGGGAAAGCCAGGAGTCCAAACAGGGATTTGACAATCAATGAACTAATTTGCTTTTGGAAACCCTCCCACTGTCTTTATCCACATATTATCCTCCTTTTTGATGATTGCTGCTGTTCCCCCTGCCAATGATAAATGGCCTTTTCTCCTGTGCTAAGCTAATCCTAGCCTACCTGACTGCCCCATGCAGCATTTCCTGTAGCTCTGTGTACGTGACATTCTGGTTGGGAGGGCAGCTGAACTCCATGTGACATCGTCAATGGTAGAGGTTGTGGAGCAATGGGAACTTAGACATGCAATGTTCTTATATTTAGAGTGCCTGACTTTCAAAAATCCTGTTCTTCAGCACCTTCAAACAGGGAAGAAGCAGGCACCACTACTAGCAACTGAGCAAGGAGAAAATTTCCTCCACATGCCAGTGCGGAAACCAGCTGAATCAGTTATCTCCTCTGTAGAGGGTAGCTTCCTCATGGACCACACTGCAAGCATAATCACCCTTGCACTCAAGTGACAGGCATTTAGCAATATGCTGCTTATTAAATTATCTGCTTCATTTGACTCTCTCCCTTTGGTTTTAGGCTCTCTTACCAACTGCAGACCCAGGAGGAGAATGCGACTGATCCCTTTCTGGAGGAATGTAATGCAGACCCTATGCTTCGAGAGCGCCTTTCCATTCTCTCCCTCACCTTCCAGAACCACAGATCAACGGTGCCAGGCAATTCCATGCTCTTCTTTGACAATATCTTCACTATTGAGCCAATGGTAAGTGATAGCAGACTGAGAACACCCTCCCTCCCCCCAGAACAGATCACGCCATAAACAAATAAAGATCTTGGTTAGTTGATATACTGAGTATGTCAGCCTTGCAGGGTTTGCAGCTAGATTCAAAGGGCAAATTAAAAGGTCATTTCTGAACTGTGGACTTCCAAATTACTGCATTAGATCTATCAGTTGTTTTTTTACCAAGTAGTGTGGTCCAGTGGCTAGGGAGTCTATTGAATTTGTTCCTATTCCCAGCTCCCTCACTGAGTTGCTGGGCAAATTACTTTAGTGCTCTTTGCCTTGATTTCTCCACGTGTAAAATAACACTTACCTACTTTGTAGAGGAAAACTTATACAGAAGAGCTAAGTATTATGATTAGGACACTTAGTTCTACATTTATTGAGTTTTCTTTCCATAGCAGGTGTTAATAGAAATGTGGCTATTTAGTAAGGCAGGATCAAGCTCTGTCTACACCATCCCTGACAGATGTCTATCTAACCTGTTCTTAAATATCTCCAGAGAGGGAGATTCCACCACCTCCCTTGGCAATTTATTCCAATATTTGACCACCCTGACAGTTAGGAATTTTTTCCTAATGTCCAATCTAAACCTCCCCTGCTGCACTTTAAGCCCATTACTCCTTGTCCTGTCCTCAGAAACCAAGAGGAACAAATTTTCTCCTTCCTCCTTGTGACACCCTTTTAGATATTTGAAAACCGCTATCATGTCCCCCCTTAATCTTCTTTTTTCCAAACTAAACAAGCCCAGTTCATGAAGCCTGGCTTCATAGGTCATGTTCTCTAGACCTTTAATCATTCTTGTCGCTCTTCTCTGTACCCTTTCCAATTTCTCCACATCTTTCTTGAAATGTGGCGTCCAGAACTGGACACAGTACTCCAGCTGAGGCCTAACTAGTGCAGAGTAGAGCGGCAGAATGACTTCACGAGTTTTGCTTACAACACACCTGTTGATACAACCTAGAATCATATTTGCTTTTTTTGCAACAGCATCACACTGTTGACTCATATTCAACTTGTGGTCCACTATGACCCCTAGATCCCTTTCTGCCATGCTCCTTCCTAGACAGTCGCTTCCCATCTTGTATGTATGGAACTGGTTGTTCCTTCCTAAGTGGAGCACTTTGCATTTCTCTTTATTAAACCTCATCCTGTTTACCTCTGACCATTTCTCTAACTTGCTAAGGTCATTTTGAATTATGTCCCTCTCCTCCAAAGAAGTTGCAACCCCACCCAGTTTGGTATCATCTGCAAACTTAATAAGCGTACTCTCTATCCCAATATCTACATCATTGATGAAGATATTGAACAGTATGGGTCCCAAAACAGACCCTTGAGGAACTCCACTTGTTATCCCTTTCCAGCAGGATTTAGAACCGTTAACAACAACTCTCTGACTACGGTTATCCAGCCAATTATGCACCCACCTTATCGTGGCCCTATCTAAGTTATATTTGCCTAGTTTATCAATAAGAATATCATGCGAGACCGTATCAATTGCCTTACTAAAGTCTAGGTATATGACATCCACCGCTTCTCCCTTATCCACAAGGCTCCTTGCACCTACATAACACACTTTTCCAATTTGCATCACAAATATGGTCTTTCAAGATTAAAAAATCGTATGTTGGCCAGTGCAAGTCACACTGACTCCAAGACTAAGAAGTCTTTTAGGGGTACAGGAGATATAAGCATGGAGGATTAACTCTATGCAATTCCATCCTTACAACAGGGAGTTGTCCACATGTCTGAATTTGCCCTACAGTGTCATTCAAGAACCCTTTTGCCTACTGGCAGATTGGAGTAGGCTTTTTGATTTTAAAGATATGCACTTTAAAATGGCATTGGTTGTAAAAGCATCTGATGAAGGCCTGTGTGTGTGTCTTAGTGAATGAGGTCAGGACCCCTGCCCTTTATGCAGGTGTTATGTTTAGAGAAATCACCATGGAAATGGTGTTTGATGCAGAATTATCCTGACTGACAGTAAAAAAAATCAATAATGTCTTAATTACCATGTGAAAAATAAACATTTTGAGCGGCCTTCCAAGCCTTTGGGAAACGAACTGTTATACCACTTTGGCTGCATCTTGCATTTGGTTTAATTTATTTTTGCAAATAGACATGATATGTCAGGATCAAGAGATGTGGTGGAAGCCCAGGTGGCCACTGAAGAACATTGGTTTTGCTTTTTGCTGCAGATTTGTTTTCAGCATACCCTGCTGTTGGCCAGGAGTCACTTCAGAAGCAGGAGAGAGCTGACTCCTTGGAAATGGAAACCAAGGAAGACAGAGATTTGCTACAATTGCATTGTCCTTGACAAATCACCACTGTCTTGTCATTGCTTTCCTGATTAATGCTGATCCTCTGAAAAACTTCCTTTCCAGGTTGTGAGAGTGCTGCCACTTTTGCAGTAGAGCGAGGCAAGGAGAGACAAGTGTGTGCAGCAATTATCAGTATTCCAGAGGCTCTGCAGAACAGCTAGAGACCTGAGTGGTTTGTGCTGATCAAGCCTTTGCCAGGAGCACCACCACCATTGAGAATGATAGCATCCATCTAATCATCCATCCATTGGGTTTTCATAGGGCAGATGTTGGTTTTTGTTCTCCTTCTTTTATGATGGGTCTGAAGGGATGTGCTTTACAGTTCACAGATTCTCCTGCGTTCCATTCATAGAATCCCAGGGCTGGCAGAGACCTCAGGAGACCATCAAGTCCAACCCCCTGCCCAAGGCAGGACCACCCCCAACTAAATCAACCCCATTGCTGAGTACTTCAGCTTTTTCCACATCATCTGTTGCTAGTTTGCCTCTTTTATTCACCTTGGGTCCCATACTTTCCCTGACCACTTTCTTGTTGTTAACATACCTGTGAAAACCATTTGTTACCCTTCACATCCTTTGGAAGCTACATTTCCAGTTGCACTTTGGGCTTCCTGATGATACCCCTGTGTGCTTGAGCAGTATTTTTATATTCCTCCCTTGTCATCTGTCCATGCTTCCATTTCTTTCAGCTTCCTTTTTGTGTTTAACCTCTCCTAAGTATCAGAAGGGTAGCCGTGTTAGTCTGAATCTGCAAAAGCGGCGAGGAGTCCTGTGGCACCTTATATTCTAACTGAACCTTATAGACTAACTAATGCTCCAACACTTCAGTGAGTCTATAAGGTGCCACAGGACTCCTCGCCAATCTCTCCTAAGGATTCTCTGTTAAACTAGGTTGGTCACTTGCCACATTTGCTATTTTTTCTGCATATCAGGATTTCCACCTTTCATTCTGTGAAGTGCTCCCTCAGTCATCTCCCCAAACCCTGTCAAAAAGGTAGCAGCATATCTGGAAAGTCACTGTGACGGGGAGCGGTTTCAAAAGACCCCTCACAGGTCTTTCCCTGAATGCTGATAGAGCCCCTAACACTCACCTCCTTGATCCCTGGGGCTTCTCATCACCCCGTCCTGGGTCAGGTCTCCTGATCTTCCCCAGCTGAGCCACAGAGCCGAAATAATACCTCCTCCCCTGCAGAACAATGCAGACACTGAATTACCTCAGCTCTGGCACAGCAATCAGGAAACCCACTCCCCAAATGGGATCAGAGCCCCAAAGAAATTCAGATAAGCCCCCTTTAACAATGGAAGGAGGAGGTACACACTGATTGCTCCCTCCGTTAACTATTATTTACACTGGGCTTGATAGTAAATAACAGTGATAAGTACAAATAGTAGGATTTAAGTGGTTGCAAGTGAAAACAGGCAGAGCAAAGTGAATTACACATTTAAACTAGCAGGAAAAGCATAGCTATTTCAAATACTCTAAAAGCTTATTACAAACTTACCCTAAAATTGTTCTTCTTTCAGCTAAACCTCCAACTGGGGAGAACAGAATTAGGACAGATGGCTTTACAAATCCAGGGGAACCACCCTATCACTACACTGCGACACAGCAGGATTCTAGAGTTACCATATGCAGATGGGATTCACCCAAGAGTCTTAAAGCTCACGGATAATGATATCACAGAGCAAGGGCAGAGAATGAAGAGAACTGAGGCAGACTGTGGAAAGCTAGCTTTAGGAAAAGAGTAGCAGCTGTGATGCTGGTAACTGCCGATTAGTTGACTTGACCTCTGTTCCAAGTAACATACTTAAATTGGTCATTAGTGATATCATGGTAGGGTGATTTAGATGGAAATGAGTTACCAGGCAAACATCAGCATTGGTTTATAGAAGGCTAAATCTTGTCAGCTAGATTGCATTGACTTTTGTGAAAGACAGATGAAATAGGTAAAGGAAAAGCAGTTGTCATTCATCTGGATTTCTGCATAGCACTTGATAAGATGTCACATAGAAAATTTGTAGATAACTGTAAAAAGACAGGAGCTTCAGGGGGTAGCCGAGTTAGTCTGTTACAGAAAAAAACAGCAAGCAAATGGTCTGGTAGCACTTTATAGACTAACAAAACAGGGAGCTGCGATCATGAGCTTTTGTGGGCACAGCCCACTTCTTCAGATGACCGAAGTTATGACTAGGGGATAAGAAAACTCAAAATAAATAGAAGGGGGGGGAAGGGGAGAGAAAGATGCTCTGTCGCCCACCCCCTACCTCTATACATAAAGTATCAGGAGAAAGGGTGCTAAACCTGAGTAGATAAAGATCAAAGTCAGTGGATAAAGGGTCCACCACCCCATATCTTGATTAAGTCCATCAGTAATTGAACTGAATTTGCATGTGTATTGTAATTCTAAGCTTTCCCTGTGTATTTGGCTTGAGGAGCTGGCCTGTGACAAGACCTCCACCTTCAGATCTGTGATAGAAATGTAGCCGTGTTAGTCTGGTGTAGCTGAAACAAAATACAGGACTATGTAGCACTTTAAAGACTAACAAGATGGTTTATTAGATGATGAGCTTTCGTGGGCCAGACCCACTTCCTCAGATCAAACAGTGGAAGAAAATAGTCACAACCATATATACCAAAGGATACAATTAAAAAAAAAAGTGAACACATATGAAAAGGACAAATCACATTTCAGAACAGAAGGAGGATGAGGAGGGGAGGTAAATGTCTGTGAGTTAATGATATTAGAGGTGGGGAAGGGTAAATGTGATTTGTCCTTTTCATATTTGTTCATTTTTTTTAACTTAATTACCTGCATCCTGCTTCAGAAGCCTTTTAAATCTGCACTTGAAAGGGAATCCTCTGAACTGTCATTCATGCTAAAATTTGACACTCTACGCATGGGTCTCATTCTCCTCCCTAGCTATCTTACCCATTACAAAGATAGCTTCCCCAATTATCACCTCTAATACCATTAGCTCACACAAAATGCAGGACAATGTAGCACTTTAAAGACTAACAAGATGGTTTATTAGATGATGAGCTTTCGTGGGCCAGACCCACTTCCTCAGATCAAATAGTGGAAGAAAGTAGTCACAACCATATATACCAAAGGATACAATTAAAAAAAAGAACAAATATGAAAAGGACAAATCACATTGCAGAACAGAAGGAGGATGCGGGGGGGTGGGAAGGGGGAGGAAGGAAGGTAAGTGTCTGTGAATTGATGATATTAGAGGTAGGGAGAGTGGGATGTTTGTGAGTTAATGGTATTACAGGTGATAATTGGGGAAACTGTCTTGATAATGGGTGAGAAAGTTCAAAGACTTGTTAAGTCCCTGGTGGTAAGTGTCGAATTTTAACATGAATGACAGTTCAGAGGATTCCCTTTCAAGTGCAGATGTAAAAGGTCTTTGTAGCAGAATGCAGGTGGCTAAGTCATTTAGAGAGTGTCCTTTCTGGTTAAAGTGGCAAGAAACTGTTTTCTCTTTGTGATCTTGTCTGATATCTGTTTTGTGGGCATTAATCCTTTGGCGAAGTGTCTGAGATGTTTGTCCAATGTACATAGCAGACGGACACTTTCGGCACATGATAGCATAGATTATATTTCTGGATGCGCAGGAATATGTGTTCTTGATCTTATAACTCACTTGGTTAGGTCCAATAATGGTATCAGCAGAATGAATATGTGGACAAAGCTGGCAACGGGGTTTGTTGCAAGGGAAGGTACCAGGGTTGGTATTAGTGTGGTATGTCCTGTGGTGGTTGGTAAGAATCATCTTGAGGTTAGGTGGTTGTCTATAGGAGACTATGGGTCTGTCTCCCAGAGCCTCTTTGAGTATGGTATCCTGTTCCAATATAGGCTGTAGTTTATTGATAATGTGTTGGACAGGTTTAAGTTGGGGGTTGTAGGTGATGACAAGTGGTGTTCTATTGTTGGTTTTCTTGGGTCTGTCTTGAAGTAGATGGTTTCTAGGTATTCGTCTGGCTCTTTCAATTTGCTTTTTTATTTCTCCGGGTGGGTAGTTGAGGTTTATAAATGCTTGGTAGAGATCCTGAAGCTTCTGGTCTCTGTCAGTGGGGTTAGAGCAGATGCGGTTGTATCGAAGGGCTTGGCTATAGACGATGGATCGTGTGGTGTGTTCTGGATGGGAGCTGGATGCATGTAGGTAACTGTATGAGTCAGTGGGTTTTCTGTAGAGAGTGGTGTCTAATTTTCCATTGTTGATTTGTACGGTGGTGTCCAGGAAGTGGATCTCTCGTGTAGAATGGTCCAGGCTGAGGTTGATGGTGGGGTGTAGGTTGTTGAAATCTCTGTGGAATATCTCCAGTGTTTCTTGGCCATGTGTCCAGATCATAAAGATGTCATCGATGTACCGTAGGTAGAGGAGGGGTGAAAGGGGACGGGAGTTGAGGAAACGTTGTTCTAGGTCAGCCATAAAGATGTGCCCAATCAGCTGGAGCACGGTTCAGCCTCCTCTGGGCTGAACGCCACAGCCAGCAGGCCAGGCAGCTTCTCCTCTGCGCCAGCCCACGTGGAGTGTGGTGCACCCTGGCTGAGCACCATGGCCAGCTGGCTGGGCAGCTGCTTCTCTTCCCTCCAGCCCAGCTGCCCTGCACTCAGCCCAGGGAGGCTGCGCCTAGCTCCAGCTGTGAAAGCCACAGTCAGCTGGCTGGGGTGTTTCAGCCCTCCCAGCCTCCCAGCTCCCACCATTCCTTGCAGCTACTCACCTGTGTTGTTGCTCAGTGAGTAGCTGCTCCTCAAATGTGGAAATCTAATGTAAATGTACTGTGCAGGTGTGCAGTTCAGAGAGGGCTCAAGAGCTACTCTTAGAGCCCCTGAGATCTACCTGTAGCTCACGATCTACTGGTTGGTGACCACAGATCTACATGTTTTGTTAGTCTATAAAGTGCTACCAGACCATTTGCTCTAAGAAGACAGGCATTGATCATCTGGATTACAAATTGGTCATTGGGAAGGAGGGCAGTTGCTTACCAAAGGAAAGGGATCATGTGTCGGTGGCAATTGGGACCCATTCTAATTTGTACATAAGGCATTTGAAGGCAGAACAAGCTGGAGATGGTACAAAATAACAAGAATGTCAGGGATATGCATAGAGCGGGGAAACAGGGCAAAGCCCAGCATACTGGAAAGGCCAAAGTTAACCAGAACCATACAGCTACAAGCCACACTAGTTTTAGCAAGGGCATCTAAACTTTTCAATTCTTTTTCTCTTTTGTATATGTTTGTTTTGGCTGATGAGTTTCATTGAACTTGCTTCCATTATACCTGTCAGCCTTTGAGTAATGAGCAAGCCAGCATGAGGAGAGTGTTTCAGGGTCAAGATATTTGAACTGATCATTGAGTTTGATGAGCTCACACTCCACACTAAATCAACAACAAAAAGACACTTTGTTGTGCAGTCAGTCCAAGAATCTGAGCCTCCACCATTACATTTACAGGGCGATTTTCCATTGCCTTGAATGGAATCAGGATCAAACCCTAAAGGTCCCAAGCCTGATTTGGATTTCACCTAAGTGTAAAATAACCCCACTGAAATTATCTTAAAGGAGATAGATAATAGCGGGATGATGTACAGTAGACTTCCGGTAATCTGGCACCTTTTGGACCTAGGTAGTGCCGGATTATCAGATTTGCTGGAGAATCAGGAGGTCCGGTACAGCTGCACGGCTCAACAGCTGGTTAGGACACAATCTCCCTCCCTCTCCTCTCCCCCTTCCTCTTCCTCTCCTCTGTGCTGTAACCTGATCCTCCCCACCCTCCCCTTTCCCCTTCGCTGAAGCAAAACGCTCTTCTCCATACTGTAACACAATCCCACTCCCTCTCCAGCCTTGTGCTCCCTCTGGTTACAGCCAGCATGTGTGCTGAGCGGCAGGCTTTTTAATTAGCTGGTCAGGAGCGCTTGGCATTATGATGCCGGAGTATCAGGAGTGCCGAACAATTGGATGCCGGACTATCAGAGTTTTACTGTATTTTCTATTCATGAATGATGATGGACTGATCAGGTTTTGATGAACTCTGGGAAATGTTCCATCGGAATGTTTGCATTCCCTGATGTTCAGCATACAGCATAGAGATGAATAGGATGTTGCCAGGTCTAAGGAGCTGAGTTTCTTTGACACCGCTTCTTTTCTGGTGGTTTTAAACTCCACTGTTTTGGGGCGAACATGTCCTTCACTCCCCTCAATAAGAGGGAAAATATCTGCCCTGGAGCAAATTGCCACTCCTGAAAGGTGGGCATGTCATCAGGGTGCACACAGCCACATCTTTCTGTGATCTAAGTCTTCAGGTAGAAAAGCACACTTTGCCGTTGAGGGACTGAATGGGGTGGGGAGATTCTGCAGCTTTCTGCTCTGAGAATTACAACAACCAGGAATGAGAATCAGACCTTCCTGCTCAGCCACTGACTCAGCCTTGATGGTCTTTTTAAAGAGAAAGGTACAAAGTGAGGGAACTGTTAAAGATGTACAGTGAGCCTCATATAGTATAGTGTGGCAAATAAAATTAGCTGCATACTGCATGGGAGTAGACTGCTGGGAAGTGAAGTGATAGCATTAGTTGCATTTAACTGAGGGAGAAGTAGAACAAAGAGCACAGAGTAATTATTACAGATTTGTATTAACTAAGCCAAGGAAACTATCATTTGTGTCCCATTTTACCTCTTCTGCTAGATTAATGCCTCAGACAACTTGGGCTGGGTTTTGTTTTGTTTGTAGCCATTGAAACAGAGTTACTTTTAGTTAAACTCATATAAATCCATGGTAGCTCATCTAAGTTGTCGAAGCAAGATGAGGGTGAACTTTGTGTAAGCGCAAAAGCTTGTTTCTCATCAGTAGGAGTTAATCCAATTCCTCAATCACCCTGCCTCTCTGTGGTTTGTAAGGTCAGGCTCTTACATTTCTCAAGTATATGTAGTAATCAGGCAGTAATGTCAAGATATAATATTCTTGCTATGCACATTATTTGTTGCCAGAAATATCACAAAGAGCTATTAATAAGGCAGTTATGTTCACAGTAAAGGGCTTCCTGCCTTCAAGTTTTCCTTAAAAATATTGTGTGTCTGCAGTTGAAACTGCTCTATCCTTCTTTTTTGTTGTAGGAGGGAGATGTTTGGCCAAATTCTACAGCTGAAATTAATGTGATCTTTAAGCCCCGAGAAGCCAAAGTCTATCACAGAACCATCTACTGTGACATCTCAGGTACAGTATCCTACCTGCACAAGAAGCATAGCATACAAGTATGTTTGGGTTTCAGGCCATGGGATTGCTGACACGAGCTGTAGAAGGAGGCTTTTCTGGTGGTGCTAAGCTGTCTGAGGCTTCAGGATGCAGTGTCTAGAAGTCACTAAAATACATTGATATACTTGGGGCTGCATGTGGAGTGGAAGGGACAGTTGGAGGCTGTGTGTGGATTGACGAGAGGGGGCATTGTGGGGTCTGTATGGGACAGGGCACTTGGTTTTCCAGATTATGGAAAATGGGCCCCCAATTTCCATAGTGCCCAGGGCCTCACAGTTCTGTAACAGGACTTGTGCCCACATATGTTCTAATCCAATTCAAATGGTTCTAGGGCAGTTCACTAGCATGCACAGAGTTCGGGGAGGATTCTGATTGGTTTGGCCAAGGCTGGTACACTGTGGCGCACTTGGAAAAGGCAAGAGAGTGCGCAGCTTTGTTCTCTTCTCACCCCACGCACGCCTAGAGATGAGCCAGGAGCAACGCTGACAGACTCTGGATGGTTCCGAGGCCTGCCTTCCTGAGCAGAGGCAAAGGTTAACTCTGCATGAGATTCAGGATGGAAAGAGGAAGAGAAATAATGGGTGGTCTTAGGGTTTGAGGAGCAATTATTTGGAGGTGGAGACAATAAAGGGTTGAAATGGAGAATCCCTGGGGCTTAACAGAGGCTTAAAGCATGCCAGAAGGAAAAGAAATGCAGATTTATTTTGTTTTGTTTTACTGCAGTGGCCTGTGGGCCTCAAAACATTTGCCCACTGAATCCGTGACAGTGACTTTTCTACCGCACACTAAGGTCTGAATGCTCGTCCCACTTAAACCAATGGCAGCACTCCCATTGGCTGCTGGGGTCAGGATTTGGAGAGCAATGCTAACATTGCCACTGATGCAAGGTGGTGGGTGAATATGAGCAGAACGTGCACAGTGGCCAGTCTCCAAGTCTGAGTGTCTAACAGGAGACCTACCTGTGGGGCAGATCACCCCTCAGTTTGCCTCCTGCAGAGTTCTTGCACCTTCTAATGAAGCTCTGTGGTGCTGGCCACTGGCAGAGTGGCTCCCAGTTGTGAGTGCATCTCTCAGGGCAGATTGTCAGAAGACAAACTGGTGGAATATTCAATAATTAGATCCCACCAAGCTAGTGACATATAGGAACTCCTGGATAACTATCAGCCTTACCAGGGAGTCACAGGCAGTTCCCTTAGCTCTCAAGCCTGTCTTGCCACCCAGACAAATTGTACTTTGCAATAAAAGGATATGAAAATCAAAAATCACAGTTTTTTCCCCGTTTGCAGAGACCAGTCGCCTACCCCAGATCACTTGGTTGTCTAGATCTGAAACCCAAACCCAAGGCAATGCTGGCAGCCAATTATCTATTCAACTAATTAAAGTTTGATTAGATAAGAAAAAGAATTAGAGTCGCTGAGAGATTAAAGCAGGTAAAGTCTAATAATGGGTAAATTACAGTTTGTAACTCCAAATTGTGCCAGAGATATAATAAACAGCCAATTTCCCAAAAAGTCTTTCAGGGCATCCTAGAATAACCCTGGGGATCCAGTCTTCTCATTCAGTTATTCTGCCCTGTTAGAATCCAAACAGACCAGAGATACCAAACCTTTCTTTGAATCCATATTTATAGTCTCTTCTATAACGCAAGCTGACAGTGTTTTTATTATCACGGGCTTTTCTCTTGATGACGGTGAGTGAGGAGTGCACATAGACCTTTGACTTCTCATTATATACATAAAGGCCACTTGCTTTTGCTCCTCTGCTATGTATGTTGGCCAGACTGGACAGTCTCTATGCCTAAGGATAAATGGACACACATCAGTCATCAGGAATGGTAACACACATAAACCTGTAGGGGATACTTTAACCTCCCTGGACATTCAATAATGGATTTGAAAGTAGCCATCTTTCTACAAAAGAATTTTAAAAACCAGTTACTAAGGGAGACATCTGAACAGGAATTCATTTGCAAATTTAACAGTATCATCTTAGGATTGAATAAGGCTCTCAACTGATTAAAACATTACAAAAGCAATTTCCCTCTCTGATTATTAAACCCTGACTTGATTAGCTTAATTGACACAAGCAACTTCTTCCTTGTATATACACCTGCTTCTGTAGCTTCCACTCCAGTTCATCTGATGAAATGGGTTTGACCCACAAAAGCTTATGCCATAATAAATATGTTAGTCTCTAAGGGTACGTCTACACTAGCCCCCTAGATTGATCTAGGGAGGCTAATGAGGGCAACCGCAATTGCAAATCAAGCCCGGGATTTAAATATCCCATGCTCTATTTGCATCTTCCCGGCCGGTCGCCATTTTAGAAATTGGCTAGCCTGAAGTAACTGCCTGCGTCTACACACAGCAGTGAAACGGGATTCCGATTTAAAGCCCCTAAATCGAATTAGCTGGTAAACCTCTTTGCAGGAGTTAGGGCTTTAAATCGGAATCCCGTTTCACTGCTGTGTGTAGACGCAGGCAGTTACTTCAGGCTAGCCAATTTCTAAAATGGCGACTGGCCAGGAACATGCAAATCAAGCCCGGGATATTTAAATATCGAGCTTGATTTGCAATTTCGGTCGCCCTCATTTGCCCCCTAGATCTATCTAGGGGGCTAGTGTAGATGTACCCATAGGGTATGTCTAGAGTACATGGCTCCGTCGACAGAGCCATGTAAACTAGTTTACCCGGCATAGGCAAAGAAGCGGGGATTTACACAATCTCTGCTTCATTAAAATAAACATGGCCACTGCACTGTGCCGACGATCAGCTGATCCAGCACAGCGCAGTAGTCTAGACATGGATCAGTCGGCTGGGGAAGCCTTTGCTGACCGATCCTGAGGCTTACAGTCATGCCGGAGCCATGTAGTCTAGACATACCCTAAGGTGCCACAGGACTCTTCTTTGTACTTGCTTTGAAATTAGCATTTCACAAGATTTCGTGGGGGGTAATTTAGTTACAAGGTGTTTTAAGCAATTGTTATTACATTATGACAGGAACAGATAAGTGAAAACAATACCAGTAGCATTCCACTAGTTTTCATGAAACGTAAACACCCATAGACATCTAACCATTATTGTGATCTACCCACGTGAATTGACTGAAATACACTCTAGCATGGCCTGCATACTTAGCCAGTGTCACAATGGGCTGACATGGGATTGACCCAGTCTGGCAATTCCTATGTTTTGTGTATTGAAAATTGAATCTACTTCACAGGCCGAGAGACCCGGCTCCCCTTGCGCATCAAAGGGGAAGGAATGGGCCCCAAACTCCTCTTCAGCTTTGACCGGCTAGATATTGGGAAGGTCTTTGTTGGCTCAACACACAGTTACGAGGTAAGCAAATAGGATAGTGCTGGTAGGTCCAGGGTGTGTGGACTGTACAGCCAGAAGTGAACTAATCCTACAGAATAAACACAAAAAACAACAAATGGTAACAAAACAGAGCATGGGGACTCCCGAACCTCAGAGCTGTTGGTAACTTGGGCATTTCGGTTGGAGGGTAGCTGGATGTCCTCAATGAAAACTCAGGACTTTGAATGGGGTGCATGTTCCCGTATGAAGTGAACACTGCCTACTTCTAGGTAGGCTTTTCTCCTTGCAGTTCTCCTTATTAGAGCAGGGTTTCTGTGTCTGATGTGTTTTCTAGCTTCAGCAGCACTTTATGCATTAAACTAGGATAAGGACAATGTCGCAGCTCTGCAAAAGGACTTGGTGTTTTCAGTAGGTTTTGGTTCAGGTATTAAATGCACCTTTGTGTATGACAGTGAAGAAGGCACAGCATTCAGGTCCATACTCACCACATTGGCCAGGGTGTAACCAACATCCATAACGGATCTAGTTGTGTTGGCAAACCCCCAGTGGAGATGCAGTTGTGCTAGCAGAAGAGTTCTTCTGTCAGCATTGCTCATGTTGTTTGGGGAGGCAGTGGCATTATGTTGGCAGAAGAACTCCTGCTGTTAGCAGGCATGGTGAGTATGCTAGAGGGTTGTGTCACTAGTAGCTGGGACAAGCTTGCTGCATGCGAGCTCATTTCATGCAGGTCCCTTCAAGTAGCACTCAGTTCAGTACACCCTGCAGACGTCTGAGGTTAAGAGTGTGACAGGTTCCTGGTGCGGTGCCACCTGGAACTGGTGTACCACTGAGCCCCTCACCCAGCAGCGTGGGCTTGCTCTCACCCTTTACTGCTGTGACAAGCTGTAAAGCCTTATAGCCTGCACTTTCACTAGCGTACATGCAGGTGGGGACATGCCCAGCTGCAGTTACATGCATACTCTCTATCCAGCCCCTGCATAGGAAAGTTACATATAAGGCAACTCCTAGCTCCTCGGGCACTCCCCACCCCCCAGAGTGCAAACCCCAAAGTATGCCTTGCTCTGCACAGGGAACTGTACAAAATAAGCTCATAAAACTCCCTCAGTGCAGAGAAGAATATGCAATGGCCTTTGCCTCTTGAGCCAAGAATCCCACACACTTTACTCCAACTCCCTGGATTAGATAAAGCAAAAATAAGTTTATTAACTACAAAAGATAGATTTGAAGTGACTGTAAGTGATAGCAAACAGTTAAAGCAGATTACCTAGCACATAAACAAAAGCACAATCTGCGATTAATTGACTATATATTTGAGAGAGTTTGTCTGTCTGTCGGTGTGTCCATCCATCTGTGAAGTCAGGTTGTTCAAGAACTCCTCCGAGGACCACCAGATTTAGTATGCAGCTTCTTCTTACTGTAACTTACTGAAGGTCAAGGACAAGGGGATGTGCGTTTTAATGCAAATGTTTCCCATCAAACGGAAATGGAAGGTTGTGATAGCAGGGACAGTAATACCCCAGAATGACAACAGGGGCAGCAAGCACCCCAGCCCTGGGAAGCAGCTGCTGGCCAGCAGCATGGCCCCCGCCATCCTGGCCTGCCCCTGGGAGCAGCTACCAGCTGGACAGCACAGCCTCTGCCACCTTGGCCACGCCCAGGGAGCCTCCACTGGCTGGGCTTCGCAGCCTCCACCACCCCAAGCTGGCCTCGGGGAGAAGCTGCTAGGCAGGCTGCACACCCCCACCTCAGGCTGGCCCTGGGAAGATGTTGATGGGTGGGCTGCATGGCCCCTCCCGGCCTGGGTCGCCCCTGGAAGAAGCTGCCAGCTACCCCCATGCTCTGCCCTGAGTCTTCCACTCCCTCCCGTGAGTCCCCCTACCTCCCAACCCTTTGCTTTGACTCTTGCACTCCCACCACCTTTCTTGATTCCTGTACCTCCAAAGCCTCTGCCTCCTGCCCTGAATCATAGCATCATAGAGCTAGAAGAGACTTTAGAAGGCCATCAAGTCCAGCCCCCTGCCCAAGGCAGGACCAATCCCAACTAAATCAACCCCGCCAGGGCTTTGTCAAGCCGAGGCTTAAACACCTCTGAGTCTCCCACATCCCCTAAGTCCTGCCCTGACTCCTGCAGCCCCTACACCCCTGCCCTGAAGGACCCAAGCAACACTGGGTAAGGCTTCTAGTATACTCAATAGATTGGATATGAATAGCCGGTTCTCACCCCTAGAAGCTTATACAAGCAGGCTGCAGATTTTTAAGGGACAAGCTGCACTTACTTTCAGCTTGGAATTCCCAGGGGTTTCCTTCACAGGCTAGAAATCCCTTGAGCCCAGTTCAGTCTTTGCTCAGGTGCTTCCAGGAGTCTTCTTGGGTGGGGAGTGACGAACCCCAGATGATGTCACTCCCCACCCTGTCGAGCTAGGACATAGGTGGGAGCCCTTTGTCTCAAAGCTCGGAGCCCAGACTGATCATAGCAGCTATTACTCAGAGGCAGTCTGTAGCATTTCCAGGAATGCTCCCCAGGTGGGAGATAAGATTATCCTAAGGCCTGTTGTTTTTTCCTAATGGCTCATTGCCCTTCCCCACCCGCTATCTAGACTGAAAGCATCTTGTCTCGTGGGCATGACTCAGGCGTAAGTACGTTTTTACTACAGATACACATCAGAATTCATAACTGCCCATACTGAAATGAAACATGCATAGAAATAGGATCATAATTTTTCCAGTGACATATCACAGGACAGATCTTGCATAAAATACATTATACAGGAAAGGCTTTTTTTATCTGGCGTTTTGGAGGAACGGGCAGTACAGGTAAGTGAAAAATTCTACTTAACTGAAAGGGAAGAAGTTTGGTTGCAAGAAAGGGTGCAGGTTTGGGGGCTGGCATGAGGGAGTCGGTGTGGGCTCCGGGAGAGACTTAGGGATGCTCAGGGCAGGAGTTGGGGTATGGGAGGGGTTTAGGGGTGCTGGACTCAGAGAGGGGGTAACCTTGAGAGGTTCCCTACAAACAGTGACCTACAAGTGGAGGCAGTGTACAGAACCCCCTGGCCCCTCCTCCTAGGAGCAGCAGGGTCATGCCATCACTTACAGGGAGCCACATGAGGTGAACGCTGCCCTGCTCTAGCACCCCAAAACCCTGCCCTAAGAGCCTCTTGTATCCAAGCTCTCCCCCAAAGCCTGCACCTCACAGCCCCCCTGCACTCTGAACCTCTCATGGCCGTTCCTCCACATAGGAGCAGCAGAGACACGTCACTGATTCCTGGGAACCATGCGAAGCCAGGCAGGAAGCCTGCCCGCCCTGCGCCCAGAGGACTCTAAATAGGACTTTCTGTGAAGATTAGAAATGCCAGTTGTTAGAACTTTCTGGTTGGTACAGGGCCGGCTAACTCAGGTTTGACTGTAATTGTGGCTGAATCATATCATCCTAATATCACTGTGAAGAATAGAGTGTGCATTGTCACAAAAGGAAAAGCCACCTTGTCTGTTTACTGCTGATTACTCTGAATGCTGTTCACTGCCAATCAACCTCTTCCCACTCCTTGGCTGTGTCTACACTGGCATGAATTTCCGGAAATGCTTAAAACAGAATAGTTTTCGTTATAAGTATTTCCGGAAAAGGAGCGTCTACATTGGCAGGCTGCTTTTCCGGAAAAGCCCTTTTTCCGGAAAAACATCTGTGGCCAATGTAGACACGCTTTTCCGGAAAAGAGCCCCGATCGTCATTTTCGCGATCGGGTTTTTTTTCCGGAAAAGACTACTGGGCTGTCTACACTGGCCCTTTTCCGGAACAGTTTTCCCGGAATAAGGACTTATGCCCGAGCGGGAGCAGCGTAGCTTTTCTGGAATAGCTGCTGATTTTGTACCGTCGTTGCTTTTCCGGAAATTCAAGGGCCAGTGTAGACAGCTCACAGCTTATTCCGGAAAAGCGGCTGATTTTCCAGAATAAGTGGCCCAGTGTAGACACAGCCCTTGTGCTTTTGCAGTAAGGACTTTAGGAATCAATCTGAAGGAGTTAAAGAATTTCTGCAAGTGCAGCAAACATTAGCAATGGCATCAAATATTAGCAAAAATGAAAAACACAGCAAGCTAAAGAGGTATTAAATGAGGCAGTGCATCATGTTGGACAGTTTAGAAAGCCCTTCGGTAGCGGGGAAGGACACGCTTAACGTGTTCTTCACAGAAATATTTTGTACCCTGTGCATTTTTAATGCTGATGCCTTATTGCTTCTCTTTCTATCAATTTATTTTTTCCTTACTTGAAACAAATTTAAACTACTAGATGTTGCCCTTTGTCAGTGCTGTTCTTGGCATCTGCATAATGAGTAAGTCTCAGCTTGGGTGTAGCTCAGGGGTCTCCAACCTTTTTAAGCATGAGATCACTTTTTGAATTTTAAGTGCAATCCAAGATCCACCTCAAACCCAAATACTCTTGCCCTGCCTCCTTCCCATCCCTTTTCCAAGGCCCCACCCTTGCTCACTCCATCCTTCCTCCCCCACCCCCACCCACTTTTATCAGGCTGGGGGCAGAGGGCTGGTGTGCGAGGGAGGGGGATGTGGCCTCTGCTCTTGGGCTAAAAGATTTGGAGTGTGGCAGGGGTTCTGAGCTGACTCTGGGGCAGGGACTTGGGGTGCAGACTCTGTGAGGGAGTTTGGGTGCAGGGGGGCTAGGGCAAAGGTTTGCCCACCCTTGCTCACTCCATCCTTCCTCCCCCACCCCCACCCACTTTTATCAGGCTGGGGGCAGAGGGCTGGTGTGCGAGGGAGGGGGATGTGGCCTCTGCTCTTGGGCTAAAAGATTTGGAGTGTGGCAGGGGTTCTGAGCTGACTCTGGGGCAGGGACTTGGGGTGCAGACTCTGTGAGGGAGTTTGGGTGCAGGGGGGCTAGGGCAAAGGTTTGGAGTGTAGGAGGGGTTCAGGACTGGGGCCAAGGTTTGGAATGCAGGCTCCAGCTGGGCACCGTTTACCACAGGTGGCTGCTGGGTGGTGGTGTGGGGGGGCTAAGGCAGGCTCACCCCTCCTCTGGCCCTGCACCATTCCCAAAAGCAGCCAGCAAACTCCCTCCATCCCTGGCCCTGCCCCTGCTCTGTGGAGATGGGGTACAGGGTGGAGGCACAGCAAGCCAGAGGCTCGGGGCAGGAGCAGCAGGGCAGTGCTTAGAGGGGCAGATGAAGAGCCGGCCAGCAAACTCCCTCCATCCCTGGCCCTGACCTCTCAGAATCACCTGTCAAAGGCTCCAAGATCTACCAGTAGATCCTGCTCCCGATCCCCTGGCTGGTGACCACTGATGTAGCTTGTATTAGAACTAGGGATGTGAAAGGTTAACCAGTCAGTGACCATCACCCGTAACCGGTTCCAGCTCCTTCCCTGCTGCAGGGGCCGGCTGTGGACAGAGGTTGCTCTCATCTGGAGCAGCCCAGGCAACAGGGGTTGCAGGCATCCTTCAGGAAGGTCTGGAGCAGCCTCTGTCCATGGGGAGTCCAGCCCACTGTGGACAAGGGCTGCTCTGGTGGGGGCTGGGAGCCAGGATCTGGTGCCAGCCCCAGCCCCAGCCCTTGCATGGTGGCTGGGAGCCAGCTCCAGCACAGAACTGGTAGAACTGGCTCGGTTGGTGAAGTCCCCCGCCTGGATCTCGCTTAACCTAATGTCTAACCTGTTAACTAGGTTGTTCACATCCCTTATAAGGAGGAGCATGATTATTTTCATTCTTTCCTTGATGAATATACAACTGTTCTTTGCAGCAACACTAGATTTTCATGCTTCTTTGCTAGATTCTACAAGGACAAAAGGGAGCGAGAGATTGTAAAACAGATGAAATCTGTCTGTGGAAATGGCAGGGAGTCACCCTGCAGAAAGAAGAAATTTGTAATTTTGCCTAAGGCAAAATTTATCGGTGAAACAATGTTTGTCGACAGTAGTTGGGACTTTTTGACCAGTATAAAGTGTAAGATCTGGAGAGAAGCTGAGGCCTACATCTCTTATTCAAGACAATGGGATTTGTGGGTGCCAGGCAATTCACAGACTGCCTCCCCAAACTCACAGTTTGCCGCAAACAATTGTGAAAGTCTTAGCTTGTGCTTGTAAATATTTATAAGATAAAAATTGCTTGAACAGGTTGTGCTGGTATTTGCCCCCCGTTCGCTGGCCTTTATATAAGGTTGCCATGTTTCTGCTCACACAGAATCAGACTCCCTTGCTCTGCCCTTTTCCTCCTCTGAGGCCCTGCTCCCTGCCCGCCTCCCCTGATGCACCACCTCTGCTCACTCCATCACCCCTCCCTTTGTCATGGGGGTGCAAGCTCTGGGGTGGAGCTGGGCATGAGGGGTTTGGGGTGCAGGAAGGGGCTCCAGGTTTGGGAAGAGATTTTTGACTGAGGGTTGGGATGCAGGTACGGGGGCGGGGGGACAGGCTCTGTACTGGGGTTTAGAATACAGGAGGGGGTACAGACTTTGGGCTGAGCATGTGGGCTTTGGAGTAGGGTCAGGGAAGAAAGTTTTGGGGTACAGGAGGGTGCGTAGGGCTGTGGGGGCTCAACATGGGGTAGGGGGCTGGAGCTTGGGCTTCCCTGGACAGTTCCCTGCTGGGGACGATAAGGAGGGGCCCCTTTCCCCCAGTGGCAGCAGCTTGGTAAAAGACTGGCATGGAAGGCTGCCTTCCTCCACATCGTCCCCAGCAGCTTGCTGTTGAAGCTGGCAGGAGGGGCTCCTTGCTGGCTGTGGTAGCTTCAGGGCTTGGGGAGAGAGATCTCTCCCCACTGCAGCCCTGAGTCCCTGCATGGGCTTAATGGGAAGCTACATGGCTGGGCTGGCTACCCAGCTTAGGGGGAACTTAGGTGGGAGGGGCTTAGAGGTGCAGGCTCTGGGTGGCAGTTACTTTAAGCAGCTTGTGGAAGCAATGGCATGTTCTCCCTTCTAGCTCTTACGTGGAGTCACAGCCAGGTGGCTCAGTGCACTGCCCCGTTCGATACGCCACCCCTACAGCTTCCACTCACCATGGTTTCTAGATGATGGGAGCTACAGAGCTGGCACTTACGACGGGGACAGTATGCGGTGGTCCCAGCCCTCCCTACACATAGGAGCTGGAGGGGGAACATGCCTCTGCTCCCAGGGGACAAAGAGAGCCAGAGCAAGCAGGGAGCCTTAGCCCTGCTGCACCGCCTGCTGGACTTTTAGCAGCCCAACTAGTGATGCTGACCAGAGCCACCAGAGTCCTTTTTTGACTGGACGTTCTGGTTGATAACCGGAGTGGCACTTCGCAGACTCGTTGCAAAGCCCCTTTGGACTGTCCCTTTAAAGTGCCACTCCAGCGCCCTAAAGGAGCAGTGCTGCATGGAGCCCGGGTCAGCTGGAGATTCCAGCTGGTCCCAGGCTCCGCCTTGCACTGACCCTTGGGAACACCGCAGCGGCGCTTCCAAGGGGCTGCACTGCATGGAGCCTGGGGTCAGCTGGGGACTCCATGCAGTGCTGCCCCATTGAATCACTGCTGCGGCATTTCAAAGGGGAGTTGCACGCAATTAATCGCAATTAAATTTTTTAATTGCTTGACATCCCTAAAAGGTCTGTATTGAACCAATACTTTTGTATAAGAACATTTTCTTATGAAATCTTTCACCTTTTACGAAAGATTTCCATGGAGAGGAGCATTTATGTGCTATAGAAACTTTCATCTGAGGACCCAAAGTGCTTTTCAAAGGAGGGATAAAGACCATTTGATACATACAAGGATTGTCTGTCTGCCTGCCTGCCTATCTGTCTATCTCACAATCTGTTTTATGCTCCCAGTTCTAGACTAGAAGTATGAACATTATCAATATGATAATGCAGATTACTCGACTCTGCAAGGTGCCTTCAGCTTACTGGCCACAAGGGAGTGGAACGCATTCAGAATGTTGCAGGATTAGGATCATTGGGAGCATGATGTTATATGATGCTTCTGCCGAATAACGTAATTGTTCTCTGCTGCTCTTGGAGAATTTTCCAAAAGCACAGATTTTTTTTGTACTGCAAATTCAGTTAACAGGGAGGATATTCTGCTCTCGGTGGTGCTGTTGTAAATTCAGAGCAATACCCTTGACTTATTTGGAACTGCTGCCATTTTAATTGAGTGCAGTATTTTCCTTAGCTTCCAACAAGCAAGGTCTTGTCACTTCTCTCCTTTTCAGATGTTAATCATTTAATTAGAAAATAAGTCAATTCAATCTGTGAGAGATTCCTTGTATGTTTCCATTCCTTCCCTTTTTCTGCTGCAGGCAGTCCTGTCTAATAAAGGAGCCATTGATGCCCTCTTTAACTTGATCCCTCCATCTACTGCACTGGGCGCCTGTTTTATCCTGGATCCAAAAGAGGGCATCATTCTGCCAGGTGGACATCAAGCTATCCAGATCTCCTTCTGTTCCACCATCCTGGGGAAATTCACAGAGGAGTTTAAATTCAGTGTGAATGGAGCCCCTGAGCCTGTGAATTTAACTATTAGGTAAGATGGGCTATAATGAGTATTCATTAATAATTTGCATTTTTTAAGCATCTTTCATTTTAGGACAGTCTCGATCCTGGCAGCTCCCTTGTGTGGTAGAGTATGAATCCTTATTTTACAGCTGGAGCCAAGGAGAAGAGCAGAGATTTGTCCAAGGTCACATCGTAAGGAACCAGTGGCAGAGCCACGAATAGATCCCATGATACTTTATCCTCTGCTCTAGCCATTTAGCCTCCATTATCTCCCGACGGTGTGCGGCATTCACATGGCAAACACAATGCTTCGTGAGAGGACAAAAGTTTCTTCAAGCAAGGATCCTATTCTCTTACATTTTCTGCTTGTAACCAGGAAGTTACTGGTCCCCGGTAAACCAGCCGTAACTGGAGCTTCCTTACAATTAGGCCAATCATTATTTTTGATTTCAGAATAGTCTGTTTGCATAGACTTCTTCAACATGATAACACCCTTCTGAGACCATAATCTGCCTTATGCAGAGCTCCAAAAAGGGTGCTTTCAGTGTAATTGCTCATTCAGGGTAGGTTGTACGGGAAATACAGGAAGAACTGGGAACTCTAGGGCTACGTCTACACTGGCCCCTTTTCCGGAAGGGGCATGTAAATTTCACTAGTCGTCGTAGGGAAATCCGCGGGGGATTTAAATATCCCCCGCGGCATTTAAATAAAAATGTCCGCCGCTTTTTTCCGGCTTTTAAAAAAGCCGGAAAAGAGCGTCTAGACTGGCCCCGATCCTCCGGAAAAAGTGCCCTTTTCCGGAGGATCGGGGCCAGTCTAGACGCTCTTTTCCGGCTTTTTTAAAAGCCGGAAAAAAGCGGCGGACATTTTTATTTAAATGCCGCGGGGGATATTTAAATCCCCCGCGGATTTCCCTACGACGACTAGTGAAATTTACATGCCCCTTCCGGAAAAGGGGCCAGTGTAGACGTAGCCAAGATTTCTAATAGTGGTAAGGTTTGGAAGTGCATGGTGCCACAGCTGTAGATCTGGGCCGGCTAGGAGATGGAGGACCTTAAATCTTTAGTCCTCAGGGTCATAACAAAAGATACTGCTCAGAGTCATGTCATCTCAAGCCTGCTTGGCTGTCAAAGGAGTAAATTTCCAGTTCTTGAGCAACCTGCACTTAGGTGGGCTTTATTGCAGAGAGAGAAATAACAGATAACCTGATCTCTCAGTGTGTTGAGTGCTTCGGCCCCCATTGAGCTACATGAAGATGATGTGAAGGACTGGACCTGCAGCCAGGGAAACCAGAAGTTCTGGCAGTTACCAGTGTTGCAGTGGGCTTTAGCCTGGTCTGTGCCTGTGACCAGAAGTCTTTTAATACGTCATATAAAAGCACAGTAACATCTTCTGTGCTCTAGCACTGGACATGATTATGGTATTTTCTGTGCTTAGCATAGCAAGTGCTGTGATCCATAAACCTCAACCAGAGAAACATGCATTTATAAGATAATTACATTTGCAGATAGCACTAAAAGAGGAGTGGGGGGCTAGGGTTAGCTATGGCATTGTGTCCAGAGCTTCTGTGAAGCATACAGAGTTTAACTCATTCAGTCAGAGATGTAAAGAACCTAAAGAAAAATAATTCCCCCCCTTGCATGGTCAGCTTGGTCTTTGGTAATTTCCTGGTAGAATCCACAATCGGGCATTTTAGAAATAGCTTTCCTCTGTGGTGTTACAGCAGGTGTCAGCAGGGAACGTTGTTACACAGTCTTCCCAGTTCTTTTTCTTAGCTCCTGAGCAAGTGGTCAGTCTTGGGAATATAGCAGAGGGTTAAGTTTTTGTTATGCAAGATTGTGTATAGAGGCAGTGGTTCTTGCAGAGGGACCTCTGCAAGTAGCGGGTGAGTTTGCTGTCTGCTGTGGTCTCTGATTAGAGTCTATTCATAGACAAAACTGCTTCCTGTGAACTGAACACTTGATTCTGAACCGAGACGTCCGAAAGATGGGACCGACTGCTTGTCTTCCAGGACTGGTAACTGAAACTAGTTCTGCTTAAAATCTACCCTATCCACAAAGCACCCATATCTCCTCTGCTGGGAGCTGACCTGCAAGTTCCTGGACCTCTCCTCCAGCTCAGTAGATGGGTGAAGTGGGTATCGGAATTGTGTGCACTATACACACAATTTGTAAATATCCTCCCAACAGGACAGCGGAAGCCACCCTATCATTTCCTTTCGATGGCAGCAAACATAGCTTGGCTGCAGTCACAATCCTGAGAAGCAGCTGTGACGGCTCAGTGCAAGAGCTCTGGTTCTTTATTCAGTATGGAAAGGCAGAGCTGTCAGTTCTTTGCACTAGGCAGGAAGCACTTATCTAGCTTGTGCTGCTCCAGTCACTGGTTTCAGTGGAGTCTGCAAATGTCCATGAAAAAAGGGGCTGAGAGAGAAGGAAGGGAGAAGTAGGAAAATGAGCTGGCATCAGAACAGTTCAGATTGCTGGCAGCATAATTCAGTGCTGCATTGGTCATTGTTTTAATTGTCAGCCAGTGTGTATGTGGCTAGTGGGCATATTTCTGCCACCATTCCAGTACAAGCACCATGTTCTTTAGTGCTAGCTCACTGACAGGTGTCTTGATGAATCAGAATCTTGCAAATCAGTTGGCCGTGTGGGTCTGTATTCATCAAGTGAAAGGCAAACCTTATTTCTCACAAGAAGACCCAGAACCATTGCTGGCATTTTGAAAAGCATCGAGCCAGTGAAGCTATGGTCTGGAAGCTTAGCTACAATAGCATCGCTGGATGGAGTTTTAGGGGCTCCGGCACTCGTCCCTAGCACTTCCAAATGGGCATGCGCAAGGGAAACTGTTATACTCCATGTCCTTGCCGAGGGTGGGATGGAAACCTGACTTTCCAAATTATTTCCCTCGATCCCAGCTTCCCTCCTTTGCAGAAAGACTTTGACTTAACCAGTCAGATTGATAAACAGGACTAAATGGAGTCAGCCTTCCTCGGCTGCATGTATCCATTATTTTAGCTAGGCTGCCCAGCTTCCACACCGATGCCTTGCTAAGCAGAGGTGGGAGGTGTGTTGAGTTTGTTCTTATGTTCTTATCATTTGATACTGGTGAATCTAAGACCAACATCCCCCCAGCTGCACGGCTTTGGACTCTTCCTTACAAACCAGAGTGACACTTACTCCGCCCATGCCTTTCCCTCCCAGGGGCTGTGTCATTGGACCAACATTTCATTTCAATGTACCATCCCTGCGATTCGGGGACGTCTCCTTTGGTGAGTAATATTTTCCTTAGTTGCTGATAGTGAGGTCCAGGCCTGCCGACAAGGGGGACAACTGCCCTTGGGCCCGGTGATTCAAGGGCCTGAGGCTCTGGCCCCTGCTTCAGTTGTTGTGGCGGCAGCAGCACTTGAAGCCTGGAGACCTTTAAATTGCCATTGAAGTGCCACGCACTACAGGCGGCTCTTAGGGCTGCTTGCAATGGCAGGGGTGCTATGTGGCACAGGTACTGTGGCCCAAGAGGTGCCGAGGGTCACCTGCCCCAGCTCAGGTGGGAACTTCCCTGGTTTGGCACCTCGGTACCCGAAGGTGGGAGTTTGCTGTACCGGGGAAGTCGGCCCCTCTGCTGATGGACTCTGGGCTCTCCTGGGATCTGTCTGCAGATTGCCGGGCTCCCCTGCCACTGGGCTCCTGGCTCTGCCACCACCTTGAAGACACCAGGCTCTGGAGTCAGCCCTAGGCCTGCCAGGCCTCCACTGCCTTGGGGCTGTTAAGCTCCACTGCCCCGGGTCCACCAGGACTCCGCAGCCAGCCCTGGGGCCACAGGGGTTTCCTCTCTGCATCCTGGAGTTCTTTGGTCCAGGGACTCTGTGGTTCAACAACCCCATATGCTGCCAGAGCAGAGTGTCCCGGACTAGAGAGGTTCAACATGTAGTGTGAGAGCCTCCACTGCATGAGAGCCTTTGCATAAGGCTTTTGGGTACTGACACAAGCTTTGTTTCAGAGAGTCAGGCCATTTGTCAAATAAATACATAATGGACAATATTGCATTGGAAACAACATGGGGAGCTATTTGCTAATGAATCAAAGTACCAGGGAGACAATCCCAATAACTGCACCTAGAAGGATCGAAATCTCCCACGCAGCATTTGAGCAGCTCTTAATCACAAATGTGCATGTTTATGAGACTAAGTTTCTTGAAAAGTGTGTTGGACTTCATCAGGAATGACAGGAACCTTCAGCACCATGGGAAAGGAGGGGGAGGGGTTTAGGGCCTTTTAAAAGTTTTTGAATGGGGAGAGAACACTAGGAGTTATATTATGCATTATAGAATGTTCACCATCGGAGTTTTATGGTAAGTAGTATCATGAGCTCTTTGTATTTCATTTCCCATTTAGAGATGTCAAATAGGAGGAAGCTGCCATGATAGCCAGTGTCAATGTTGTACAGTGTCCATGAGTGCTTAGTGGGTTTTTGGTGGGTTTTCTTTTCTTTTGTTTTTGTTTTTTAAAATAGGCTTTGGCAGCAGCATAACTAGAAAGGGTCTTGTTGCTGAAGGAGAAAGGGATGGACAGGTGAAGTTAACTGCTCTCTGTACTTCTCAGGAAAAGGAGTTAGTCATATAACTCACCTGTACCTGTCCTGGGCAATTATTTGATATCCCAGGCAAAGAAATCACTTATTCCACTGTCCTTTGATGGAGAAGTTATTCACTCTGTATGGACATCTCATTATCTCTTACCAGCTAATGTATCCATTCAGTAGCTCTGGGGTAGGTGTTGATAGTCCAAGATTCTGGTTTGTTCTCCATTGAAAGCAGGGCAGAGCTGACACATTCTCCTGCATTTGGAACATCTCCATTGAAATGCAGATCATTTAATCTGAGTTTCCATCTCAGCCTTACAAAAGTCTGTTCACAGAGAGGATCTAAAGTCTAAATGTGAAATCAATTGTGGATTAATTGAAGTCATAGTATCATTCTTGCTTAGTATGCCTCTGTTTTCATGCTTTTCATGGATTCTTTAAGAAAATTAATTACTGTTCCTGAGCACTTTCTCCTTTCCATGCGTCACCATACTGTCCTTTACTCATGTTTCCTTTTGAATAAAAAGATAAAATGACTCTAGACAGTTCATATTGGAAAAAAAAAAGAAATAGGTGGAAAAACAATTAGGTAATGCGAGTTTCATTTCCTTTAATCTGATTTAATTAATGAGGCTCTGTCCTTGTTCCTTTTAAAATATACGGTTAACTATTACCATTGTCTAGTGACTTCAGCCAGTTTGGGGGTTCTAGATAGTATACTTGTATCCTCGAAACTGAGCTCCTACCTTCTAGTTCAATCCACAGATTTCCATAGATGAGGCCTGAGATAGGAATTTATGACTGTAGGACTTGGAGAAATGACATCTGCTTCTCCAAGTTGTTTCTTTCCATACTTTATTTCATCTAATACTTGTAGTTGGAGAGTGGGTGATGTGCATTTCCTCACAGGTTTAGCTGGCCGAGCAAGCAGCCCAGTTCTGTGTGCTCTCCTGAGTTAACACTCTACTTGCTGTTTTGTGCATGTTCTGAAAACTACAGAAGTATCAGAACATTCTTACCAAGTATAATTGTCATAATGGAAGGTAAAGAAGAGCCAGAATGTGATAATTGGAGCATAACCCATTTAGAGGGCTGTTGTTAGATACGGTTACCCTGAATTTCATCTAAAAGTGAACGTGACAGCCCAGTGCACCTTATAGGTGATGTATATAGTCACCAGCCTGCCTAGCCAACGAGTAGGTGTGTTTTGAACTATCTGCCAAGTGGACTTCAAGATTATCCCTAATAATGTGTGCTATAGCATGAAATTATGGAGTGAGAGTTATCGCAGAGAGGAAGGTGAGCAATTTCTTGGCCAAATGAAGGTGGGACAGAGTGTTTCTGATGGAAGTTTCTATCTGGAAATCCTTTCCGAGTTTATTTGTTGTTTGTTACGTTTTTCCTGTTACAGACTGACTTGGCAATCCCTCTGAAGCTTTTGAACATGAGTTTATAGTTTAAGCAAGGTCAGGATAAGCTCTATTCTGACATCTGGTGGTGAATTGTGGCGAGTGGTGCAAAAAGACTTCAGGGGCTGATCTCATTTGCATAGGCATATCCACCCCGCCTAGTATGTGCTCACAGCAGCCCAAATGGTCACTTTGGCCACTGTAGGATCCCCAGTCTCTCTGTTATTGAGGCAGGGGGATAACGTGTTGTTACCCTGATTATGCGAATCAAGGACAGTGGAATAGTGGAACTGTTTTATGCCAGAGGGATTCGCCATAAACTAAGTAGCACTTGCTAGACAAGGGGCATGGGTTCCAAACCCAGTAAAGCTGAGAGAGGCTGTGGATGGTTATTTGTACCTGGTAATGGGGCCCTGTCTGAGGGCCTAAAACACCTTGTACATCAGGAAGGCCTTGGCCTTTTATTTAGAAAAGACCAAGCCCTTCTGCAAATCGCCACAGCTTTTTGTGGTGATTGCGGAACGCTTAAGAGGTCAACCAGTCTTGACACAGAGAATATCTTGCTGGATCACTGCATGTATCAGGGAGTGCTACGCTCTAGCAGGGGTCCCAGCCCCCCCTCACAGTGCACTCTATGAGGGCGATGGCTTCCTCCATGGCCTTCATGGGCCAGGTCCCAATCCTGGACATCTGCAGGGCCGTCACTTGGTCCTCCGACCACACCTTGCCAACCACTACGCGCTGTCACATCAGGCCAGGGAGGATGCTGTCCTGGGCAGGGCGGTGGAAGGTTAGAACGCCGACCCCACCTCCTCAGGTTCTGCTTTGGAGCCACCTTAATGGAATGGACATGAGCAGTCACTCGAAGAAGAAAGAAGGGTTAAAGAAGGGTTACTTAGAAAGAAGGGTTACTTAGAAAGAAGGGTTACTTAGAAAGAAGGGTTACTTAGAAAGAAGGGTTACTTAGAAAGAAGGGTTACTTAGAAAGAAGGGTTACTTAGAAAGAAGGGTTACTTAGAAAGAAGGGTTACTTAGAAAGAAGGGTTACTTAGAAAGAAGGGTTACTTAGAAAGAAGGGTTACTTAGAAAGAAGGGTTACTTAGAAAGAAGGGTTACTTAGAAAGAAGGGTTACTTAGAAAGAAAGAAGGGTTACTTAGGGTTACTTACCGGTTACTTACCTTGTAACGCTTGTTCTTCGAGATGTGTTGCTCATGCCCATTCCAATCCCACCTGCCTCCCCTTCTTCGGAGTACTCCAGTAAGAAGGAACTGAGAGGATGGAGGGCCAGCAGGGGTATATATCGGCTGCCATACGGCGCCACTCCAGGAGGCTCCCTGCTGGCCCGACGGGTACTGCTGAGGGAAAAAAAAATCTCCAATGACGCGTCCGCGCTTTGCGTACACACCTTCATGGAATGGACATGAGCAATACATCTCGAAGAACAACAGTTACAAGGTAAGTAACCGTTCTTTCCGGAATAACTTATTTCAAAATTAATGTGCAGTGTAGACATAGCCTCAGTGACCCATCTGTACAATGGGAAGAAGCTGTGATGTGAGGCACTCAGATATTATGGTCATGGGTACACGTAAGTTCCACAGATAGAGTGGGAATTTTTCTAAACCGCTACTAGCCCTTCCTTGGGTTTTGGTCCCTTCTTTTCACTTATTTTCCTCCCATATCCCTCTTCTCTGAATGTAAACTTGGCTCAGAGCTTAACTGTATTTCTTCAGAATCCCCTGCCTTCTTTCTTCAACCCCACTCATACAAGGGTGTGACGTAGTGGGGGTACTTGCTGGGCAGTGGTGACCTCTGCTGTCTGGAGCAAGACCCAGCAGGGAAAACCTCACTATGCAAAGGTGATGCCAAACCTGTTGAACCAGACACCCCCATGGAGAGGAACAAAGGAAGGTGGATGCTGCCCTGGCTGGGGGGCAGGGCTGGAAGAGTGTGGGTTAGTTGCTGTCTGGGAGCATGGAGGAGATAGCCTAAGGAAAGGGGCTGGAGTTTAGGGGCCCAGTCTCCCCCATCTCAAGGGGGCCTGAGGCATCCTAGCCCAGCTCTGTGACCAGATTACATCTGTGCTGTGCTGTATCCTGGAGAGGCAATAAACGTCCTCTATTCCACCGGCTGGTGCAGTCTGTTTGTGCCATTTCGGCGTGCAGGAGACGGGGAACCCCCAACGCGCCGTCACAAAGGGATTCTTGTCTTCCTCTAAGGAGTTCCAGATTCTTCATTTAATTACCAGCCCTTTATTATCCTAATCACCAGGTTTCTGTTTGTAAACAAAACCGACTCTCTGCCCCAGGGGCACGAGCTGTGAGCAGGCCTGCTTGGGGTGGGGGGGACACACGGGCAGTTGCCCCTGGGCCTAGTGATTCAAAGGAGTCTGCGGCTCCCACCCACCACTGCTGCTACTGTGGCTGTGGCAGTGGCCAGAGTCCCAAGCCTTTGAAATCACTGCCAAAGGGGGGAGGGGGCTGCAGCCTCCCTAGCTGGCACCCCTAGTTGAGTTAGCACTTACAGTCCATGTGACTGCAAGAGCTGTAAAAATCACTTATGATGAAGAAGCAATCCCATGAGTGTCTGATTTAACAGTGAAAAATCTACAAGAACCAACCTTAGTCCCTTTTGCTTTAATTGTGACAAAGCACATGGAAATGTATGCAATCTGTCCAGATATTCAGAGAGCTATATTAGTCTCTTTCAGAAAAAGTAGTGAGTCTGCTGGCATCTTAAAGTCCAACAAATGGATTAGGGCATAAGCTTTCATCAGATAAAACTCACTTCTTCAGATGCTTAAAGAGGAAAAAAAGACAGGGATACAAAGATGGGAGTGTAACATCAGTGCTAATTACATTAGTGTGGATATTGCTTCACTCCAACAGTGATGAGAAGGTCAGAGTACCTGAAGGAGAAATGAGAGAGCCAGTCCATGTTTCTATTAAAATCTCTTCTGCCGGTGTCAACTTTGCATATGAAATCCAGCTTAACATTGCAGTCTCTTTTTGCCTAAAAATGGCAACTTGCAAGTCAGTAACTGGGGAGTTTAAAGTGCGTTCCTTGACAATGTGATTCAGGGTAGCCAGACTTCCAATACGCCCTCGTCGGGAAAAGCAGTGTTCAGACTTGGATGTGCCTTGGGGCAGCAGCATTTTTCAGTAGGTAGCAGGAGTGCAGCATTCCAGCTTAACATTGCAGTCTCTTTTTGCCTAAAAATGGCAACTTGCAAGTCAGTAACTGGGGAGTTTAAAGTGCGTTCCTTGACAATGTGATTCAGGGTAGCCAGACTTCCAATACGCCCTCGTCGGGAAAAGCAGTGTTCAGACTTGGATGTGCCTTGGGGCAGCAGCATTTTTCAGTAGGTAGCAGGAGTGCAGCAT